GACATGTTTATATATACTTGTTGTGAACAATTGAAATGATCAAATTCCGCGCAATGGAAGTTTCGGGTCATTCATTGTTCTACGTGAGTTTCAGTTTTGGGCTCTTGTTAAAACTCCTTTTCAGACTGATCACGTGCTTAAACAGTAAATGGCGGACTCTCAAAAATAGTGCCCGGATCGTTTGAGCTAACTTGGCCTTGCAGCTTTCCTTTTTAATAACAACTGTAGGAAGCTTTAATGCTGAATAATTACACGTGGAGAAAAATTTAAACGATAAAAGTCTCAATTCCCTCAACCATTTCCAGATTTGAGCGTAAATTGTTTGAATGCTGCGAGTAATTTTAACCTGCACCCGCGCACTACCTAGAAGAATTTTTTACTGTACATTTTCTTTAAAGCAATTAGTCCAAACAAATAACTGTTCATCAAAACAAGTTTTTACTGCCAGAAACTAGCCTAGTCTATAAAGTTTTTCAGTTTCGCTAAACTCAGCAGAAGTGCAGCCGGTACAGGGACAAAAATTTGGATTCATAGTTGACCAGGAGTCGTTTCTCACATGTTTAACTAGTTGCAGTTAAATGCTTCAACCGCTAATTTTGCAACCCGATTATTTAATTGATTCTGGAAAAATTGTTTTTTTTTTCAAACATTTTTCGAAAAGATGTTTAAGAACCCGTCTCCATGTTTTTCAAGACTAAAGCTGACTTTCAATCATCAAAGGTTCTCACAAAGCGGCCAGCAAAGACCGTTGGGCAACTTATTTGATTTATTTTATGTCTTTATGATATGTCTATAAAAAGATTGCGCGTCAGAGTTAAAAATTGTCAGTTTGCAGCTAACCCGAAGTCAAAGCATTTTTATGATTAATTTTTCTTGAATTTTTTTACTTCGGTAGAGAAAACATTAGTGAAAAGTCTTTATAGCAAGTAAGAGATTATATAACTTTTATGGCTCCAAAACTTTGGGAAAAGTATCTTGAAAAGTGTCTTACAAAAATTGTAAGTCTTTTTCCAGAACAAGATCACTGGTTCTTAATATCTTTTTAAATCATTCAAATAAAAATTTAAAAACCTACAATCCAGCTAATAAATTTTTCAATAAAACGAACAATTTAAAAAAAGTTTTTGTCCCAAAAAACCAAGAAACAATTTCAAAGTGTTTCTTCTGCAACCATTTGGTCATTTCTTTTCGTTAATTTGAATGTTGCGAGAAAACAATATGCTTTAAACATTTTGTTGCTAGTATAAACAACCTAGAAATCCGATGAAGTTCATCAAAATAAAAAAAAATGAAAACTTTTCTGTACCAGGGTTAAGCGTTCAATATTCTTGCAGTGTTTTCAAGAGTCTCAAGTTATTTTTGTTTGAATTTTTTGTCAAAATTTGCTGAAAAATAAAGTAAAACTTGATTTTGAAAATCCTCTTGCACCTTCATATGATTATCGAAATAGTTTCCCCAGCGAGGCTTCATTCAGATCTTTCCTGCAATCTGATTTCAATTGAAACATGCAATCTGCAGCTTCTGCACAAAATCTACAACATGTCAAAATTTCCAAAAAACTGAGAGGACAATGCGTGCAACAATTAAAATGATATTGAAAGAGGCAACTAATTTCAAACTAGGCTAATAACTGGACCCTGAACATTTGTTTGCAAAGAAAAACCACATCGTATTACCTATCAGCTGTGGAATTGCAACTTGTTCAAAAAAAATTGATTCAGCGTTGTTTTGAAACAGGTGAATTTCTTCATATACATTTCACACAGTTTTATGTTGATGTATGTATGTAAAAAAAAAGCAAAAGTATATCTATTGAGAAATTTATTTGCCCGGGTTGAAGTCCCACCGTTAATTATCGCTTTTTCTGTAGTATTATAGTGATCGCTATTTTCCAGCGCTGATTCGTGTATGCTTCAGATTTTTCAGAGCTATTTCAGTAATGATTCCGTAGAAAATCATCGCTAAAACTTACGAAATTTTAACTCTTTCTAGTAGCTTTCAAATGAGAGTTATAGCTGATAAGCTCTTTAGCTTTAGTTTCTTAAGTATTGATAACACAGAGGTAGCATACAGGTCTATACACATGAAGACAACCGGGTTGAGCTCACATTGAAAATTAGCGATAAAAAAGTGAAAAAAAAACTGTGATCGCCATCCATGAATTATCGATGTCCATTGCCACAATAGCAAATTTTATCGAAAAATATTGCTAATTTGGCTTATTTTCAGCAATGAAACAGCGATAAAAAACCTATCAAAATGAAAAAAATAGTGCTCTAACAGGGGACTGAAGTGACTATGTGTATAGTCATTATCTCTTATCTCATTATACCCTCTTCTTGGTTGATCTCTTTAGATATAAATAGTTTCTTCATATATGCATTTTTTCTGATATTGTTTTCCTGCTTCTTTTTTCGTCGGTCGGATCAACAGACTGCTAGTTTTAATCAATCAGCAGAAAATACAAAGATCTCGTGAATCAAATTGTAACGATTTGCCGATTCAATTTTAAAAGTTACTTTGCGCATTCTGATTGTTTTGATTGAAATTAAATGATTCATAATTGATCTCTGTTGTAGAACATAGCCAAAAGTTTGCCACGCAGGTTTTGTCGTAGCTGATTCCGAAGCATTTTGGTCTAAGAAAAATAACATGAAATTTCTTTGTTTTGAACAAGTCGAATGTGAATCCAATGTTGAAAATGTTCGCCGTGAAACTAGGAAAAATTATTATTGGTGTCAGGGCCAAACCCTGAAAGCTCTGACAGTTCAATCACTTCAAAGTTAAATGAAAAATTAATGTTGCTTTGACAAAAGATAATATTGTAGCAATCAGGACAAAAACTTGCCTCAATTCAATTTAGAAAAATATCTGAGCCAGTTTATTTCCGATTTTACGAGAACAAAATATATTGCGCGTTAGTTGTACAAAATTAAACAAAATGGCAATTTTAAAACCTCCACAATTTCGCGACAAAAATCAGAGGTGAAATAACTTTTAAATGTGAGTTCCAGACATCAATACTTTTCAGATAGTTTTTAAAAACTTGCCAAAAAATCCAAGTTAATAAGTAGAAAATTGCCTGGAGAAAAAACCATTCAGCCACAAATAATCATCCCGCAAACCAATTTCTGAATTAGGCCTCAAATGAGCCCAATTTTTAAAGAAAAATACTGAAGGAGCCGTGTTTTCATCAAAAGGAGCTAAATCAGCTCAATTTTAGCAAAAAAAGTTGAATGAGGCCAATCTTTTTAAGCAAATTGTGCTCGTTCTAATTTCTAAATTCAATTCAAACAGACCAAAACAAACAGTACTTCCAATAACAGAGTACTTCCTTTAAACCCTCATAATTTTACGAAAAATGATCACAGGTGAAATATCTTTTCAAATTTAAGCGCAAGACAACAATGGCTTTCGAATGAAATTCCGTCAAAAATGGCTAGTTAAAAAGTCGAAAGTTGTCTGAAGAAAAAAAAACCCACCCCGAGCACAAATATTCCGTTACTTTCGTATCGAAAGTCGGAACAATAAGCGTTTTGGTCTAACAAAGTTACAAAATTTTTTGCGAACTGATGAAGTCAAATGTGACTCCAATCTGTTGACAACCATTCCATGTGGAATAAAAACAAGACTACTGGTGTCAGAGCCCATGCATGAGCAATCAGGACAATAGCTTGCCTCAATTCATTTCTGAGCCAGGTTATTTCAACATCTACGCCTTAAAAAACAAAATTATATTGCGTTTTATTGTCTGTTATTATAATCAATTTTTTCACTGCAATCAAGTTTTCGCCCTGCTTTTGATAGGCAAATCATGTTATGATCACCCATCCCACTATTTAAGGCGCAGTAATTTTGCCGAAGGCTAAGTGGGAAAAGTGTAATTTTGATTGGTAAAAAATTCTAACGTAGAACCAGGCTATGTAAGTTAATTAATAAGTTTTTTTCTACGGTTTACTAACTATTTCCGAGAAATTAAATTAAAGCAACCAATTTAAAGTAAGCGTTTAATCTACGCTTTTTCTCAGAATTACAGAAACAGATTACTTCAATCAACAAAAAAGCTTTCTAGTTATTTTTAGTAGTAATCGCATAAATCAATTCTGTCGCTCTATTTTTATCTTCCTCTTACTAGAAAAAAAGTATCAGAACAAGGCTCTGAAATTTTCAACTGTATTTTGATTTCTGGGGGTAGTTAAATATTAAATTATTGGTGAAAATTTCAAAAAAAATGAAAAATTTCAAAATTTATTTCGAGTTTTTTCTGGAGAATCATCTCCCACAATATGCGAAATGCAGGTGAAAATTTTTGCACCAGAAATTTAACTTATATGATATTTCACTCAGACATTTTTTCGTAAAATTATGAGGGTTAAAAGATAGCCAAGAAGTGTCTATTTAATATTGTGCTATATGCAAAATATATCACTTTGTACTTTACATAGCGTTTGGGAGGATGACTTTAAAAAAAATTTGCAATGAATGTTTCATAAATTTACTTTTTTTTTCAAAAATATCATCAATTTTAAACTACTCCATAGACACTAAAATGCAGTCATAAAAATTAGGCTTCGCCCTGTTATACGAGCTGTCTCGTTGAAGTTTGTTCCAAAGTAATGATTGGCTTCTGGTTTCAAATTGTCTTCAAAATAAAGTTATCCCATAACTTACAAAGAAGTTTTCAGGCTTCAGAGTATGTTATTAGACCATATGGACCAGTTTTAAACGTCTTTGAGCTAGAGTTTGTGTTGTGGTATTGTCTTGTAGAAGATAGACAGTTGTAACAATCAAGGATACGCCTTGATGCGAGCAGTTTTATTCTCAGACTTTTTTCCAAACGATTCTCAGTCTTTGCTCTGGATTTCATTTTGCAAAAGTAATGCAACATAACGGCATTGCCTCAAATGGTTATTTTGCATTGAATGTAAAATACATATGAAGCATATTGGCTATTTTTGATAGCATAAAAGAATCTTATCAAAATATAACACAAGGCCTCCTTATATGGTAAGACAAGAGCTCTTTTGCACTTGCGTCTATACTTACCACGGTTATAGTTATACCATATACCAACGTGCTATAGACGGTATTCAACATCAGCATCATCGGTATCATAACTCCATTTAGAGCTTCGGAGGCGACCATATTGCAGAGTTTGGTACCAAATTACCATCCATTCGGTGAACAAACAAACTAGTCTGCAAATATCACGACAAGTAATTATATGTTGCGTAGTTTAACTTACGAACAGAGGGCTCTTTCAGTTGGTAGAGATTGCAGTGAGCAGGCATCTCTAAAAGCAGAAGTTATCATTCCGAGTTATCAAAAAAAAATGTTGGCTACACTCAAAGTCTTCCAATTTAAATTTGTTTTGTTAATCTTTCAAAAGTTTAACTTGGTCGTTTTCTTTAATAAAAGATTTTTTTTAGTGCGCCATATAAGGTTCCGAAAAGCTAAAATTCTCAAAATGTTGTCTTTGAAAATATTAAAGTAGAGATTTGTAAGTAAAACTTCAATGATTTCTACTATTACGGTTATTTTTTACAATCTGTGGTTAAGTAGTCAACCCGAGTGTAAAGGAAACCAGGGTGTAAAGTTAAATTAATTTTAACAAAATTTTGAAAGAAAATATAACAACTGCATTTTTTGAAAAAACTCAGTAACGAGTCTGCTCACTGTACTACTATTAGATAAATGGAACCTCGTGAAAGTTAGAGACATCTAAATTGAGAATTTCTTCCGCAGCACAAACACCTGATAAATTACACAAACAAATTCAAGGGTCATCGTCAACTTCATAATATGGCTATTATATACTAATAGCTTCGAACTAATTGCCCAGATTATCAGAGAAGTTTGGGCTCTAAATCATCATTGTTTACCGTTTCGAGTCCTGTTTTGAGCTGTTTTGCTTTGAGAATTTGAATAAAAATCATTTTGCGGCTTCTTTTCAGATTTCAAATCTATAGCATCGATTGGCAAATATCTGAACTTCGTGTTTGAATTGTACTGTTACATTTGTTTACTTTTACCATTTCGTGTTCATTCAGATAGGTTAGGTTGCCCCATCAAACCAAGTCTGTTATTCAGAACATAATTTACTTCTTGTACTAGTATCCTGACCACTGTTCTCAGCTGAATTTCATCATTCCTCAAAATGGCAGTAAGTTTTTGTGTTTCCACTTCATAAACTTTCGAAAAAATGGCTGAAAAAATTGACAATTGTGACATGTGATTGACAAAGTCTAGGTTGACATTTTTTTTGTCTGCGAAAAAATATTACACGCGAAAAAACTGAGGTTTTTATACTGCCATTTTTTGTCAATTAAACATTTCGAAAACAAATAACTGGACTTGATTCTTTGCTCTGCCATCACGATTTAAGTGTGGGCCTCGAACACCCAACATGAGTTCACCGAATAAAAAATTTTAACAAAGAATATAACAAAGTTCACCATTTGTTTGTAGCCTAATTCAAAATGTTTTTTTTTTCATTGTGTAAAAAAAGCATCCCTGAAGTGAACATGGGTTTAAAATGCAAAAATAAAACAGAGCTTTTTACCAATAGTTAATTTGCTTCAATAACTTTGAGGCTTATGAAAATTAAAAGGTTATCAGCAAAATAGTGTTTTTTATTTAAATAACTCTTCAATTAAAGAGGAAACTTTATCAACCATTAACCATGCCGCTTTCAAAGATTTAGCAACAATATCAAATTTCAGGGTAATAAAAATCATAAATGCAAAAAACACTTCTATTCAAGAAGTATAAAGAGAATCGCGAAAATCACTGACAATTTATTGACATGGAACAAGTTTTTTTTTCAGCTTATTTTTTAAAATTCGATAGTTTGGTTGATTTCATTTTGATTTATCAGGCCACCCAACGAACTGCTTCCAACCGTGCACAGGTATTGCAATCATTATTCAATGATCACGCCTGTGACTTTAATTTAATTCATTAACAAATTAACCAATAAACTAACTATTAAAACCCTCTGCCTACACTGGTCATATTCATTGCTTCTGGTTTTTCCCATATCCTTCCTCTGATCTCTTTAACTACCCCCTTATTATATTAAGGGGGATTCGTTAAGTTTAATCTGGGGTTTAGGAACTTAGACGACAAGAAATTAGACGATCAGAAAATAACGGAATTTAGACCATAACTTGCGTGCAAATTGCGTGAAACTTGTTTACAGATTTAAATTATATTTTGGCTGAGTAAATACTGGTTGTCCCTAAATTCCGTTTCTTTACGGTCGTCTAATTTGCTTGTCGTCTAATTTCCTAGGCCCCGTTTAATCTATTTGATACACAAAGATACAATTCCAGGGAATTATAACAAAAAAAAATCCATCGATTCTCAGCTTTGACGCTAGTTGCGAATAATTGTGCATTAACACCCCTATGATGAGAAAATGCTGTTTTTGCGTTTTTGCTCGAATAATTTGGCCCTCAATTATAGCTGCTAAATTTTTCCAAAGGAATCATTCTTTGGTTCTATTTTAAGAGATCCATTTTTGGCCGACCAGTCTAAACTACTATAAAAAAGGTGTTATTGATTGTTTATTGAACATCAGCGTAGCCGGAGTTAGGTGTCCCTTTTAAGATAGCGGTAGGCGTCGGTTTTAAACACACCAATAAAGAACTTTGACAGGTGCCATCGAAAAAAGTAGTTTTTGTTTTAAGTTTATATTTACAATGTCTCAAGCACCAATGCAACGAATATCCACCCCGATAATGAACTTGGAGAACGTTAAGTCTATACAAACTTTGAACTAATAACCTAGTTTTATATTCCCGCTAAGCATATGCTCAAGTACTTTTTTGCAGGCTGAAAATATAAAAAAAACAGTACTGCTCGTATATCAGAGCGGAGCCCTGAAAATTCCGATTGCACTTTCTTGCCAATTAAAAACATTTGCGTTGAAAAATTAATAAAATAATTCAAAAATAGTTTTTTTTCCCTTTTTGTCTTAGTATTATCCATCATAACGGTAGGTAAGGTACAATGGGATGTATTCAGGGACTAGCATATTAAAAACATGAACAAATGGCTTGCCTCAATTCAAGCAATAAGCAAAAGTGATTATGCTACATTTACTTTTTTTGTTAAACTCATTTTTTTTTTCATATATCGTTTAAATGTTTCATCTGTTCTCATTTGATTTTAGTAAATTACCGCACGCACAGCCCTCAGAAAGCCTATCAGTTGCTTTCTGGTTTTACTGTCATTGAGCTAAGAGTGGGAAGTGTAGTTTTTGTTGTGGAAGATTGATTATTCATTATGAATAAAAATATTTGAATGAATAAAAATCACTACTGTTTATCTCGCGAACCCTTAAATAATTAGACTGCCCTTTAGTTGGTCTCCAGTAGTATTTTATACGGAAACTTTTGAGTAACTCTAAATTTTGGACTGTAATTGTCAAATATTGAGTCATAAATTTTAAGTCGTGTAAGGAAATATTATGATCAAGTAGCTTGCCAAGTCTCAATTTGAAATACTTTTATGGGGATAAAAAAACCTTTGCTATGCTCCCAGCATCATAGATAAAACCTTCAAAATGTTGTTCTTACCGGCAACGTTCGTAGTTTTACATAGAGTTTAGGAAAAAGCGTAGCTCACACGCTTAGAAACACATGTTCAAGGCTCGATCCTCACTTTTTCCAAAAATGGTAATTTTTTCCCTATTTGTTTCCCAATCTAAAAATTTTTGAAGAGATTTTTAGATACAATTTAGTGACTTCTCGAACTCAAATTTGCAAAAAAGACCACGTTTTTCACAATTTGCCAGCGGCCCATAAATTTTTGCAAAAAAATTTCTTTGGATAAAAGAAGCCAAAAACATCTAAGAAAAATCAAAGCGGTTGAACAAATGTTTTCTAGAACTAATTTTGATTGATTTTTAGATCAGAGGTCAACGTCACTAGGCTTATTTTAGCCTGAAAAAATCACCAAAAAAACAAAAGAAAAAAAAATTGTTCATCTTTTAGTATAATTTTTTCAGGAACCTGAGGGTGCAAACGAGTTTCTAAGCTTTTGTCATTTTTTCGAGCTGACCCTTGTCAATAAAATTAATAATTTATTTAATTTAATAAATTTTTTTATAATAATTAACGAATTGACTAAAAGTGAGACATCAATTTTACTACTAAATCTAGCTTGCAGGAGCCAAAAGGGTCTTTAGATCAATCAAATTATTTTTTCATCAATAAAAAATTAAAACTGTTTAGTGTAGTATGATTTTAGTCAAACGAAGAAAACGCAAGTCGATGTTGCAAAAAAATATAGCATTCTATGTTTGTGGGAAACTTGTTAACAGCAAAATTTTCCTCCGTTTAACACTGTCTGTTTCCTTCATTTTCCATAATTCGATTGAAATACCTAATTCCGTTTTCGCATTCACAAGCAAAAAACTAAATTTCCGTAAATCGAAATTATTTTTTCTTTGTCAGTGGAATCTGCTAAAATGTCTGGAATTACCAACACATATCGCAAACCGGTCCACAGATCCTATTCTTCAGATGTTTCGAGCTTCAGCGAGGTTAAAGTGTTCTTTTTCTAATTTTTTGTTCCGACCAATGAAAGATTGGAGGAATTTGTGTTCAGGTGGTTTTTGTAGTTTTCAATGCAAAATCAGAAACCACAAATAATCATCGGACTGGTTCGACTGATATATCATATTGAAAGCCTTTCAGTTGTGATTTAAGTGACAATAAAAACTATCCAAAAAAATTTATTCCAGTGATTTTTTTAAAGATTTCAGCGCCATTTTGAGATTGAAAACTTTAAACTTTCTGCAAAATTTTTTATAAAAAGAGTTTTTTTAAATCTGTTTTTAAGGATTTTTTTTTTAGTTTTTTTGCCAAAAATTGTTGACCAACATGGCTAAATTACAAAGAGTGTCGTATATGCTGCTGATTTTCCAAGTTTTCTTTCAGGTGGTCTTTCGATCACACCAGGCACAAGAAAGACATCAATATGAACAAAATGTGCGCTACTTGCAAAAACCGACACTAATTTGAAAAAAGAAAAAGTGTGCTACTTGCACGGCAACCGGGTTTACTTGGTGTCGATTTAGGTGTTGAATGCTTCTTCTGTTATTTATAGGGTTTTTCCTATTTACAGACGTCCATTTTCATTGAGTTCCGAAAAGCTGCAAACTTTGTGTCTAAAACATTCCTAAAATTTCTAGAGCCAACTTGAATTTTTTTAAAAGCACAGACATTTTTTTTAAATTTTTTTTTGTTAGTATAATTATCAAGCGACAAATAATGATTCAGTCTACTAATGAATTTTTATTATTTTTTTGTTTTTTTTGGCTTCTTTGTTTTTATTTTTTTTTCAAAAATGGTAGCCGTTTGTAACTTTCTCGGGACTGCTTGCACAGCTACCGTTTATTCTTGTTTTGTTTTCTATTTTTGAATAACTCAAAATTGACTTGATTTCAAATAGTTAAATAATGCTATCACTACTTTTTTGTGTGATTAGCTAGCTAAAATTTAAGTTTTTACTCGGGTAGTAACAGAAGGTTTGCATTAGTTTAAAACTTATAAAAAAAAAGAAAAAGGAAAAAAAACAGGAAAACTAATTTACACATTCAAGCACAAAAGAGTTTCTTCTAGGAAAGTTGTTCTTTTTTGTTGCAATTTAAAATCAGCAGACACCTTGGCTGCTTTTCTTTTTAACATTTTTTAAACTTTGATAATATTGACTATAATAAGAGAGAATTTTCTCATTTGAGGAAATGATTTTTCACTTATTTTAAAAGGCAAATTTTATGACTGAAGCTGAAACCTTATAGAGAAATTTTACTTGCTAATTTGGAACCAAAAGCGTCATTCTATAAGGAAACCATTTTCAAGACAGTTTCAGATTGGCTGTTCTATAAATGCCAAGGAAACCGCAAACTGTAGTTTGATTTCCCTGAAGTTCAAAGTCTAATTTTTTGTGCAAAACTTATTAATGAGTTTCTTTTTTCTTTTTTTTATGCAATTTGATGGTTTCTTTGTTCAGCATTTCATTTTAAAATTGATTTACAATTACAATACAATTATTTAGAGATAAAGCGTCAATTGAGGTGTCAAAAGTTTAAATTTAACGGCTGAAAGCTAATTTTCTGTCAGTTTTATTTGCAGGCCAACCGGTTGATTAAACTTTTGTATTAAACTAATTCATTTTCTTTACAAAAATTGTTGGTTTTGTTGGTGTGCAATTAAACTTTTTTCATCAATCATCCCTGAAAATTATTTTTGTTTACTTTTGAACTACATTTTGCTCTTGCTAATTTATCCATATGTATACTGGAAGTAGAACCTGCAATTTCAAATCCAGGTCTTTCGATGTTACGCTGGTTAAAGAGGTAACACAATAGTTTATTTTAGAGAAAAATGTTTCAAAAAATGTTTCTGTTAATCAGCAAGGAATTTTTGAATAATCGTATGGATTGAAATTTCACTTTAGGAAGACATCGGTGTACTTTTTTGTGTTTGTTGGCGAGTTTGCAACAAGGCTCAAAAATAATTGTTGAGAAATCTACCAAAAAGTTTTTAGCTTTTTAGTGATAAATGCTGTGGAATCCAGAGACAAATGCCAAAAAGATTGGGCAGCTCCAAGCACTGCTTAAAACAATCCAGCTGCAATAGTCATGTCCTTTTTCTTAAATTCCGACTTGTTTTCCTTTCCAGGTTTCCAGCTTTTGCTAGAACATTTTCATCAATTACGATAACTCACCAATCATTGGAATAAAGTCTTTGCCAATTAGGTTAAAACCAAACCATCAGCAATTGGGAAATCATTTTCCAGTCTGTCTGTATTCCTTTCATGTTACCATTTATATTTAAAAATAATTCTACACGGTGGCTAGTACATATTTTATTTGCAGGTAATAGACTAAAATGACAAAAATCAAAACTGTGTCGCAAAGTACTAATTGGAAAGGAAACTATTTGGAAAGATTGAAAACGATAGAATACAAACAGTCGGAAAAATAGTTCATAAAAAATTTCTTTTAAACCTAAAGGCTGAAATTTCTTCTTAGGTTAAAAAAAATGTCACAGATTAAAAACTGCATTCAGTCGTAATGGTTGATGAAATTACACTTGATTCTGAATATCGCAATTTTTCTGTCCTGAAAACTTTTGATGGTCGAAAGTCTGGCAAAAACTTCCAGTCCTAATTGTGCTTTTCATCTCCTTTCAAAATTATAACGTAACGAAAGGTTACCTCTTATATAAAAAAAACACATTCTTTATTTCTTCTGCTTTGCTTTCTTATCATAAAGTAAAATTAACATTTTCTTCTATTTGTTCTACTTGCAATTATATTTTTTCTTTAAAAAAAAATGAACTGTTTTTGAGTAACTTTATGTAATTGTAGAAAGTGGTGCATCACAGTAAGTTCAGGAACATCTATGGCCAGGCAGCTAAGAAGCAGGAGAGCTACGAGGGGGTGCCTGTGAGCAGCAACATGTTCGAGAACAACTACAGCTGCGTCAACCCCAAGTTCCTCGCCATCGCCACCAAGGCCACCGGCTGCTTCACTGTCATAGACCTCAAACATGTAAGACCCACAGACACAAGCAATGAGTCATTTCTAGGTTTTCGAGGGAGAATTGACCATTAAAATTGTGGATGTTAATAAGGTCGATAAAATGCTTCTTAATTAAAAAAAAAAGCATTTCTATGAACCCACCGGTGATGGCACACACAAACTGGTGTATTGTATACTAGTGTATATTATAATTTAGTGAAGGTGGTGGGTTTTACTTTTGAAATTAACACCGTTATAAGGCAAATTTTGCAAGTGGTTTCAGGGGCTCGAAGTTTTTTTGTCCATCTTTCTTTTTTGATAATGACATATTAAAAGCTGGAAGACAAATGTATGAATGAGAGGCAGTTATTTTTTTTATAACCAATTGTTTTTTTTTACTTCAGACTGGTCGGCAGGGTAACTACGTGCAGATTAAACACAGTGGCAGTCAGCTGATGGATCTGAAGTGGAACCCATTCAACGACAGAGTCCTCGCCACATCTGCCGACGATGGAACTGTAAGGAACAAACCCCTACCTGAGTGTGAATAAACAATATAAAGAATAAACCAACCAAAAGTTAGGTCACATAGAGTATAATCCAACCTAAAGTTACATCATTCGACTTGAAATTTGCATGATTCTTGTATATGTTACATAACTGCTACATCAGTACTGCAATATCTGTATTTTCCGCTGATTTTATGGTATCTTGCTCAAATTTCACACACTCATGCGAGGCTTCATCCCTTCAAGATTTTCTGAGCTCAAAGAAAAAACGCTTTCGAAGCGATATAAAAAAGAACTCTTTTAAGGGAAAAGTTCATATAAGGGTTATCATTAATCATATAGCGACGATGACTCTAATTTAAATTTTATCACCACTTCAATTATACAGTTTCAGCTTTATATTGAGAACAATGAGAACCGCTCTTGCGCCATGAAATAAGAATTATTGCATTTTTTTCTGGGCTCAGTTACGTCGTCTCATCCTCAAGCAACGATCACGGATCGTGGTGAGTCTCGAACCACATACCTATCAATTGAAAGGTAGAGACTCAACCAATTCAACACTGCTTCCATATTTGGTGATTTTACTTTGTTTTTCCCTCTCTTGCAGATCAAGATCTGGGTGATTCCAGAGGGTGGTCTGAAGGAGGGTGACGCGACCCTGGAGCCCCTGAGAGTGATTTCGCACCACAAGAAGAGAGTGTACACCATGGAGTGGCATCCGAGTGCAGAGAACATACTCGCCACCAGCAGCGCCGACTGCACTGTGAGAACAACATTTTGTATGATATATTATATTTCACAGTCGTGCTAACCTACACAATGGCAAGTTTAATTGTCACTTCTTAGAGCTCAAGATCTGTGATTCTTAATTTTAATACATGCAGGTGTGTTTTTAAAGAAGTAGAACACTCGAGGATCAAAAAACCGGAAATATATGGAAAACAAAGTCTAAAGTTATTAAAAATGGCTAAACTTTTACACCCGGTGGAAGTTAGTAAAACTGAACTAATTTTCTTTTGTATTCTGTTTTTATTTGACTTTCTGTTTCAGGCGGCAGTGCTGGACGTGGGTGCGGCTAGTGACAAGGAGGTGGTGGTGAGCAAGACGGAAATGCACGGGGACTTCGTGTTCCAGGTCTGTTGGGACTACGAGGGGGAGAGGATATTCACTCTGGGCAAGGAACAGATCCTCCGTTCATTCGACGCTAGAACGGGCGAACTCATCATGAAGGTACTTTTTAGGATCTCTTAATGAAATCAAAACGTTTCTTTGCTCACGTGCAATATTGTAGCGAACCTCACTCAATCCTTACAGCAAAATAAATTACTGCTAAATTCTAACCGATATCAAACTCTAAGATCAAAATCTTGAATCTAAGTGCAGTTTAAAAATCATAAGAACAAAATTCTTCATCCAAGGATGTTTCACAGATTTCGATGATTTTTCTCATGATTTTATTTTGCCTCAAGTGAACTATTTGCGCAAAATGTCTAATCTTTAAACGAAAAAACTATATATAGAGTACCACAATTTACAAATTTTAGGCTTCTGGACCGGCGCATGAGTTGAAACGTGCCACCAAAATGGGTGCTCTGGGCAAGACTAACCTGCTGGTGACTACTGGTTTCTCCAGCTTGCAGCAGCCGGAGCTGAAGTTCTGGAAGATGGACGACATTGACACCTGTGTGGTGACTCATCCCTGTGGCGAGGGCTCTGGGTGTCTGTTTCCATTCTTCGACACAGACAGCAGTGTGTTGTATGTAGCCGCAAGGGTGAGATTTTCCGAACCATTTCAAAGTTTATGGCTATAAGTTCCACAATTGAAAAGCTTCTCAAATAATAAAATGTTTGATAATCGTATGATTACCGCGCTTTTTAAACAAGAAGCATAGTAAGCCTAACATTCATTTTTTGCTCTATCTGCGTGATTCATACCAGTATTTAAAATCCGCATCACAGGTTTTTATTTTTCTAATCAACCAACTCGGGTTAATTATTTAGGTTGAGAAGTGCACACATAACCGGCGACCATTAAGCTATGACTTACTTGCAAGATTTCACCTTGCAAAGTGCAACGCACGTGCGATTGAACCAGCAATCATCTTTAGTTCAAATTATATCTCTTTTTTTGTTTCAGGGCGAGGTGACGATTAGGTACTTTGAGATAGTAGTCTCCGACGATGGTGAAGTGAAACTCTACGACCTGTTCTTGTTCAACTCCCAGACATCCCAGAAGAGTATGTGTTTCATGCCCAAAAGAGGTCTGGACTTCATGGATTGCGAGATCATGAGGAGCTACAAGCTACTCAACTCGTCTCCCATGGTCGAACCTGTGTCCTTCTTTGTCCCTAGACGGGTCAGAAAAACTTAAGTTTTCTGTCTTTTTCGGATTTTTAAAATTGAGTCTCTTTTCCTTTTCCCTCATCTGCGACTTTTTCCGTTCTCATTGTTTGATTGACGAAATAAATCGTCCATTAGAAATAATTGAGAATTACTTATTTAGAATTAATTAAGCTAGTGATAAACATCTAAAAACTCTCGCAAAAGCAAATATCTCGACCATTTAGTTACATTTTAGGCTCCCACTCGCTTTAAATTAAAATTGCCCAGAACTTATTTGAGACTGCTCATCCGCAATGGAAAGGACCAATGTACAAGCTGGAGGGATGCTACGTGCAGTTTGATTAAGCAACTGGAATTTAATGGATATATAAATATGTATATCAAATAGTTTTTTACATCAAAAACTCAAAATCAAAAATTCAAGTTGTTCAGCTCCATTACGGAAAACTAAACTGAGTTCGAACATCAGGGTTTATTCTGCTTCCTTTTCAGGCCGAGGGTTTCCAGGAAGACCTCTATCCGCCCACTGTGGGGGTGGAACCGGCCATGAGTGCGAAGGAGTGGGTGGGGGGAAAGAAGAGTGGACCTCTGTTGGTGCCCATTCAGGACATCCCCCGTGAGACCAGTCGGGACGCCCCCGAGGCATTCGCAGAGGCCAACGGTGAAGACACCTCCGAACTGATGGTGCGCGCAAGAATTCTTTGTTTTTTTTCCCTGGAGAACAGGTTTAATTCATATAACCTGTTGGTTATAAAAACATGTCTAGGAATGGTTACATTATCAAACAAATCAACTTAAATTTTTACTTAAAACAATCCAACTAAAATCTTTAGAATACACTCTCAAATCATTATTGTACGTAAAAATTTATTTGTTTAACTGGCTTGGCTAAACTTTTTGTTGTAAAAAACATAGGAAAAAAAATAAATTTCTTTTTCTTTTGTGATCAAGTTAAAAAGATCAAGAATTCAACAGCTGCTACTAATAAACTTCCAGAACCCGAACTATCAAAAGTGGCGACATAATTGATTTGCTCACTATATACAAGGAAAAAATTCCAACGATCAGAAGTTTAAATAATTGCTAGAAATTATCGAAACTTTGTGATTGTAGGCACAAAAGACGAAACTGGAGGCACAAGTTGCTTCTCTAAAGACTGAGCTGAAATCGGCTAAGGACACTATCGAAGCAAAGAACGTTGAGCTCTCCAATCTGACACTTCAGCTGGAGTCATCCAAATCGAATCTCCAAACTGCCGAAGATGAGCTGGCTAAACTGAAGTCAGCTGAAAAAGAAACAACTTCAGCTGAACCAGAAGCCGAATAAAAAGAAGGGTGAACAAAAAACGAACAAGTTTGAAATGAACATGGATGCAAACAAGACTTGATCGAAAAAACTGAAACTAGTGATTTTTGTCTACAAATGATTTTCATGATCAATCTTCATATTTTATCCTACTTTTTTACTATCCCTGGTAAAAATTGTCACTTGAAAAGAATTGTTGTAAAAGTCAAGCTTTAAAATTCTCTTTGAAAATTAATATTTGAGTTCAGCGCCGGCGTAACTAGCAGCTGAGCGGGGATTATTTTTACCACAAAATATTCGAAAACAAATTCTTATCTCCAGAGGAAGTTTTTTTGCACAAGGCCAGATTAGGGATTGTGATTACTAGAGCAAAAATAGCGTCTAATGGCTAGTGTTTTTGAATGAACACAAACAAACTGCTGGTTCGAAAGGCAAAGCCCAACCGTTTCAATTTGAAAAGGTACGATTTGATTGTTACTATGTTTTTACAGTCAAGACTAGTATACTAGCAGAGGGCCCAGAAGAGGAGGAGGGCCCTGCCACAGGCGGAGGGGGGGGGGGGGGGGGGGGTGGTACTGTGGGAAAAGTAAAACATAATAGGGGGTCCAACCTTTTTCCCAAACGAAATTGAAATCGGCGGTCCAATTATCCACCTAATTTTGAGATTGAAAGTGCTAATTGATCGAGTTTCATAGAATGTTACAAGTATTAGTGTTTTTGATATCATTACAAAGGAACACTTTTTGTAGGTTTGAGAATGGATGATGTGATAATCTAAGGAACTTATTTTCAAGTGAAACAATTGTAAACCGTAATACTTGATTTCAATTCAGAATAAAACGTATTAAGCAAAATTAGGTTAAAAATTTTAATAAAAACAACAGGAGTTTTTACTAGTAGTTCGTGTTTCAATTTTCATAAAAAATGTGAAATTTATAAATTGTTTCCTTTTTTTATCTTCGTCCAGCTAGATTAGGCAGCTCGGGTTCCACAGACCCCTCATGAAAAGTCGCGCACCCGAATTTCCTCGGTAATAAATGTCACTCTAGAAGTCCCAGCCTTGTTTCCGTGGGACGTTCATTTCTAGTCTTTAATTTCGCTAAGCGTTCTCTGTATTCCGCTAGCTTTCAGTAGGCCTTCCTCTGACAATTTTTTCGCGGAAACTTCCCCTTGTTTGTGCTTTTTCATTGCTTTTTGCAGGACAGTTGATTTTTCGGTCGACTTTTGTCCGCCCGCGCCTCTTTTGATGCCTTGCTTCAACACTTGATTCGCCAGGTTGTTTACATTTAGATTGTGAGAAGTCCCAATTTTTAAATTTGTCCACTATTTCTTCCGGTTTGGCCGAATTGTCTGGTTGCATGTTGTTCCACAACTCCCTTTTTCTCGTCTTCTGGATTCCAATACCTGCCTTTGCAGTTTTCTCTTTCCTCGTTTTTGCATTGTGGGTTTTCGCTTTTCAGATTTTTTGATAATGGCTCCCTCTTGAGTCTTTGGACCAATTGATGAGTTTGGCTCCCCCTGCATTAGGTTTTGGCCATTTCCTCGTCAGATTGAGCCCACCCCTTGGTTCCTTTTTTTGAGGTGACAGTGGTTTGGCTATGTTGGAAACATTCGATCGGAATGTCTGCATCGGCTTGTTGGAGCTATTGTTTTTTGGAGCTGTTGGAGCTGGTGTTTTTGCTTCCGCGATATTGTTTTTTTTTTGTTGCTCAACTAAATGTTTTTCTAGAAGAGTCTGTTTCGAATGCTATTCTCCCCTTCAGGAGAGTAGTGAGTGGCTTTCCGCTTTTTCTATTCTCATTTTTCTTGAGTATCGTCTTCTTCGGAAAAATTGGTTGTAATTTTTCTTTGTCTTCAATGAACCATCTCTCCCAGGAGTACATCAGCTCTGTCTTAGATCACAATTTGGTTGTCCTGTGAGATCAACTCTTCGTTAGAAGTCATTTTGTGCCGCGCCTCGTCGTTACTCATCCGATTTCCTATTTGCGTCTGGTAGCTTACTGAGTATTTTCATTCGTTCATTCTCCCTTGTCGTGGACAGTTGTTGCTTGAACAAGGGTATGTGTGCCGACTCGATTTTTGCTTTCTGACAATTTTGAGGTTCTCTCGTGACTGATCAATCCTTTTTCAATTGGGAGACCGTCAGGGCGAACAGTTATAAGTGTTTTTTATCCAAACGGTCAGAAGTAATTGTAAGTTTATCTCTAATTATCCTGAGCTCGCTTTTCAGTCTTCATAAAAATTAGAGGGATATATATATATATATATTTTAAAAATGGTTTCTTGTGAAACAACAAAAATCTCGAAACAATCATCAAACTTTGCCTAAAATAAAAAAAAAAAATACCTAATAACAAATTGTGCAGTAAGTGTTTTGACTACTTGTTTATTTACTGCTTTTTCAAACAATTTAATTGACGGAAAAACCAACGCAAGCAAGAACCGAGTTCAATTTTTCCTGAAAATTTCAAAAGAATTGATACAAAAACCTTTAAGCTTCAGTAGTGAATCCAAAGTTAGCAGAATTATGGGGACATTGTTGTGCTAATTTTATTTTAAATAAAAAGACATACTGTAGCCTTATGAGTGGACGCGCAAGACATAATTTTTTCAAAAGTTATAATACGAGTAAATTATACTCATAAAACAACGGTTATTTGATGAATTTTGATTAACTATCCTCCTAATGAATTTACTAATTTAGAATTCTTGAACAAGTTCAAAGAGTAGCGCGTTTTCCAAGCAGATCAATGGAGGCTTATGCATTGAGTCTCATGCTTTCCTTCATTGTTTTCCAGCAATTACAGAGAATGAAAACTCTCATGTTTCAAGAAATTCTGAACGTTTGACAATAACAAAACATGTTTCTGTTTTGAAACTTTGCTTCAAAGCAGAAATTTGGGTTGGAAATAAGAATATAAAACTATCTCATACAGATTTTGTTCTCGAAATTTTATGTTTGTGGTTAGCAAAGAAGTAGTTTTAGTGACACAGGCTCTGAATTAGTAAACCATCGCTCAAATCATACAAATTTCTACCTAGAATTCTTTTGTTTTGTACAGTTTTTTCAAAGTTGATGCAATTGGAAGATGCTAGATTGAATAGAAAGCAACAAAAACCTGGCTGGAAGTGTAGGGGCAAAATTAGCTTGAAATTTAGCTGGATTGTTTCAGGTATTTGAAAAACCAAAAGTTTTGTTTGGATTTTTGTTAGAAGCTATAGCTTACAATAGAATCAAAGACTAAATCAAGTCGAGTTTAGGCAATTCTATGGAATCAGTGAGAACTTTTGTTTCTATCATTTGACTAATTAGGTAACTTTATAACGAATTTTTACAAAATTAGTTAGATGACACATTTTTCCACTGAAAATTTTTTAAAGCGTTGAAGTTCCTGCAAAAAAGATTTTTTTTGGAGTTTATTAGATAAAGCAGAAGAAAAGTTGCTTTCAAGACCCACACTTGAAAATTGTTTTTCAAGACCCACACTGCTTTCAAGACACACACGTCAATATGAGTTCACTAGTATGTTTTCAGATGTTTATATTCTAAATTGATATAATATTTGACTCAAAAAGATTCGAATAGAGACTGTTAAACTAATGTTTTGCTCTTTTTCGCTTTAATTTTTTTCCCATTAGAAATTTATGAGGAAGTTTTTTTTCAAAAAAAATTTTTGCTCAAAATAAAAAAATTGTTTAATTGATGCAGTTTATACTTTGATTTTTTTGAATTCATAAAAGCGAAAACCAAATTCGTAAAAACTGTATTTTTGAAAGCTTTGCTGAAAGCAGAAATTAAAAATTGGGTTTCATTGCGTAGTTTTACTTGTATCTGCGTATAAACAAACCTGCATAAAAAAACTTCTGCAAAGAAGTTTTTGAAAACCTTCAAAAAACAACCAATATTATTTCTTTCAAATTTTTATGTAAAGAAAGAATCAAATATTCTCATTATTTGCCATTAATAATTGCTCATGTAATCTAGTTTGAACGCTTAAAGTGGCTCCAATCCTTCTCACTTTAACCTTCGATTATTGTTTTGATTTCGGTTGTGACATTTTTTGAAATATCTGCCGATCGATTATAAAATCTTAGAGGACTTCTTGTAGTAGTCAATTGTTCATGAAGCCAATTGCGAAGAAAAGTAACGATTATCCAGAGTAAGTAACAATTTGAAAGTCTTCATACAAGTTAGAGAAGTATTTTATAAAACATTTCCAGAAAATTGGTTTTTGTGAAACAACAAAAAACTCAAAACAATCATCAATAAAATCCAAAAATTGAAGAAAAATTGATTAATAATCTGTTGTGCAGTAAGTGTTTTGACTACTTGTTTATTTACTGCTTATTTTCAAAAAATTTAATAGAAGGAAAAATCAATGCAAGCAACCACCGAGTTAAAAAATTCATGAAAATCTCAAAAAAAAATTGATACAAAAACCTTTAAGCTTCGGTAAAGAGTACAAAGTTATGGAGACAATGTTGTGCTAATTTTTTCAAACAAAAAGAGATAATGTAGTCTAATAAGTGGACGCGCAAGATATAATTTATTCAAAAAACTGTCACAATTGTAAACTATACTCATAGAACAATGGTTATTTGATCAGTTTTGATTGAGTATCCTCCTTATAACTTTATTAACTTAGAATACTTGAACAGAATCCTGGAGTAGCGCTTTTTCCCCGCAGATAATTGGAGGCTATGCTTTGAGTCTCATGCTTTTTTTCATTGTTTTCCAATTATTAGAGAAAAAATGAAATTTATCAAGTTTCAACAAATTTTGAACGTTTCACAGAAGAAAAACATGTTTCTACTTTGAAACTTTGCTACAAAGCAATAATTTACGTTGAAAACAAGATTTATGAAGTTATATCATTTAGATTTTTTTCGAACTTTTATGTTTGTCTGTAGCAAAGAACTCTTTTCAGTGCAACATTTGCTCAGGATTTGTAAATAATCGGTCAAATCATACACATTCCTACCTAGAGTTCAACTGTTGTGTACATTTTTTTAAACAAAATTGATGCAATTGAAAGATGATAGATGGAAACGAAATAAAAAAAAACTGTCTTGAAGGGTATAGGCAACATCAGGTTGATGTTTAACTGGATTGTTTCCGGAATTTGAACAATCAAAAGTTTTGTTTAAATTTTTGTTAGAAGCTGTAGCTTACAAAAAAATTGAACAGTAACATTTGTCGAGTTTAGGCAATTTAATGGAATC